AGTCAAGAGATGTGTGATAATTTTGAGCATTTGACTAGTTTTATTCAAATAATAATCAGACTCTACGGTTTAGTAGTATCTAATATTTCCTACTCGTTTGTAAACAGTTACACGATAAATTTAATGGATAGCAAGTTGTGCAAACTTGTCCGTCTGATTGTATTAGTTTATTTCTCAGTTTGTTCTTTTTGTTATTGTCAGTAAAATAAAAATGCAGAAAGTCGCAGTTATGATGTAATATGTTGCAAGTATATAAGGTATTACTTTTTATAAATATCAAAAGATTATTAATAGTTTATTAATTTCCTTAGTTTTTATTGTAGTTCTGTTTGTACTTTACAATACTATCTATCCTGTAAAGCCTTTTTTAAAATCTGATTATTAGTTTTCTTGGACTCTGCAAAAAATTAAAAAAAAATCATAAAGTTTAGATAAGATTACTTTATAAAGTTCAAACTTAGCGTAATGTATCTGGAAGAAAACCAGAAATAAAAATATATTTTTTATAAAAGCTTTATGTATAAAAGATACAACTTACTAAGCAATAAAAGATATTTAAAATTTGTAGGGAAGACAAAATATTTTTGTTTTAATGAATAATAATTAAAGTATATTTTTTCTTGAGAAATCAATCTTCTTGCAATACATTCAGTTATGTTGAATTTTGTTGAATTTTACCTCAATGAAAATTACAAACAGCTTTATCTATTCATACGCTCAGACTAATCAAGCGATGTAATAAGTAATTGTTATGGCTGCAGCGGACGTCGACGACGATAACAACGACAGCTGCGATTAACGAGCGTTTGACGTGAGTTTGGGGCTAAACCGACCGCTAATTAAATTAATTTCAAGATATGTCCGTCCCTTCGCCCACCTTTTCTCATTTAAAGTACCCGCACTCGCATGATATGCGATAGGAAAACATAGAGGGTGAAAGACGGTCGAAGAGTTAGATTTCCCAATCTTACAATTAAATCATTGATCGATGAATGATTGACGATACAATAATATATGTTGTTATCTAATTATTATCTTAAGTACTTAATTTAATTTAATTTAGTTTATTGCAAAGCTATAAAAAAGACTATATGTTAACAGACATAAGGTATGATACAATAGACTATAGTTAACATAAACAATAAACAATAGTAGCTTGCAAATGGTTAGCAAAATTGCTGTTACAAAGCCTACCAGTAACAAAACCAGAATAAGACAACAATGCAATAAGAGGTAAATTAATAGCTGAAATCACACACACGTATACTCATTCGCATACACATGCGCATACACCCACAAACACACCAATTACATCAGTCTAGTTTAAATACTGTAAGTGACGCGATGAAACGCAACGTAATAGAACGAAAGGAGGACTTCAAACACAAAAAAGCAAGCCTATTTATTGGAAAATGCACTCACGAGAATCACTAATGTTCATACAATATGGTCAATAAAGATTTTCGTTATAAACAATAAGAGTCGTAACAAGGAGCATATAAGCCTAATGTTGAGTGTCTTTGCCTAATTATTCTTTATTTAAAAAATAATATATTTATTATAACGTTTTTGATCATCTATCTGATCATCTTCAGTATACAACAAAAATTGCTTACTATCAATAATTTAAACATTCGCCGTAATCTGTTACAATTAAGATTTGCTGCAATACATAGGTATACATTTTTATGTGTTGTCAATAATTCGTTAGTCATTCTATGATTAAAAACTGATTCTCTTGATTTTCATCGTTTCTTATATTATAAATTTCCTTATATTAAAAATTCTTTATTGTATCATCCGTAAATGCTCATTGCGACATAGTTGTTGTTATACAAAAATGTCTATTTCTGTATCTTGAACACGATCATTTTGCAATTTTTTTTCTAAGCTATGTAAAAACTTTTCATCGAATGATGATTTCAGACATTGGTTCAACACAGATAATTCGAATAATAAATATTACTTGTTGAAATAACCAACGTCTGAAATCACATTCGATGAAAATTTTTTGCATATTTTATCAAGTAAAAATGAAAAATCAACGTATAAAGTAAAAGATTTCTTTATAAGTTTAAATGAGAAATTTAAAGTTTCATTTAAAATAAATAATTACCCAGCAAACATAATTTTAAATATTTTATACGTTACAAAAAACTAACTTTATCATATAAATGATTAAATATAATTAATAAATGAAAATTATATGATATCACAATACTTTTATTATGAAAAAAATCAACTTTCATTTAAACATAAAATTTTATGTCAAAGTATGTAAAACGAAGACTATATTTAAAGATGACAAGTTAAAATAAGCAACAAACTTATGTTTTAGCACATCAGCTATATAATTCAACAAGGCTTAATACTCATACATTGCACATATGATGTTCTTAGGTTTGTCATGGATTCATTGATATATTTAAATATTTCAAATCGTTTAAGAATATTATAGATCTTAGTAAATACAGTAATTCGTTATACGAAGAAAAATTAAATATTTAAGATTTTTCAAATTTCCAATTCTTTGTGATAAACGTTTCAACAGACGTTTATGACAAATATTCAATACTAAAGCATTTAATCTCTCAGTATGTAATGGCAATTTAGTTAACTGTAAATAATGACAAAAATTAGTGAATATATCATAATTAGTGTGTTAACTATATGTTTCCATACATATATAATCATAATATGATAAGAAAACATGCTGTTAGCATTATTATGTCGTCTTTGTTTTATATCTAATGAATGTAATGAACGATAAATATAGAATGATACAATAACACTGACAATGTGTAATTTGATCGCGCCTATAGAATTGATTGGTTTCATTAGTTGTTCTCGTGATATTTCAATTCGACATAACATGACTTACGAAATTATTACTTATATTTAACTTGCAATTAACCAAAGTGTTAGGGTGGCTCGCTATTCAGTGCGATCTGTGAATCCGGATTCGATCCATGATAGAAGAAATAACATGATGTATGCAGTTTGCAAGCATCTCTCTGAATTTCCGCCGTCTCTGTCTATAAATGTCGATAAGAGACTAAGACTTTTAACTGTGAAACGTTAAACATGAGGCGATATAATCCCATAGCACAGAAGATTGAACCAATATTGCTACAATGTTACAATATTACTGATTGCAATGTAACATTGCAGAAGTATTACAGAAATGTATGATAAATTAACAATATGCCTGCAAAATGTCAGTAATATGCTTGTAATATTCCACAAACAAAATATTACAAAACTGTAATTTTTTAATTACAATAATAATAATAATATAAAAATATAAGTTTTTACAATATTTATGTAGTACAGTTTTTTAGTTTAACAGCCATTTTTATGATATAATAATTAATATAATTCATTTTATATTTAAATAAAAAATCTATTGATCTATTATTTGATGGCCATTTCATTAGCTAAATTTTATATTTATTTCAAATATGAAATCAAAAGATTGTATAATATCGAGTTTGGATACAATCAATGCATCATTATCGGATAAGATGATAAGCAATTAAATTGCTGAAAACGATTTATCAAAATATTAATTATGTGATCGATGATGTATTTATGCCTAATATGAACGCAAGAATAAATCAACGCCCGAACTTTATTGATAAATTTCATATCGTTTTTTAATTGATTTCAATTGACTCGGAGTGATTTCGAATTAAAAAATTCGAATTAAATACTGCATATACATAAAAAGATTATACGTAGATGCTGATATTGTAAATTAATGCCAAATGTAAAGTACTATTACAAGCAGCATTTGTATATAGCAATCAATATACCATTTTCAACAATAATTACAGAAAACAACATTAGAGACTGTGTAATAAAGTTAAAATAATGATTAGAATGTGTAATAGAATTAGGATAATAATTAGAATGTGCAGAATTAGGAAAGTTACTTTATAAAAGTAACTTGTTGCCGTTATTCGTTGGTAATTAAAAAAATAATTTGTTACCTTTATCATTATTTAAAATTTGACGAATCGTTATAATTTCATTATTTTTTCATCAAATTTTGATAACTTTTTTTAGTGTGACAATTACTTATCTATGTCACTAATCGAACTTAAGATCTATAGTGCTTATGGCTAATAACATTACAAGTAACATGTTATTTCAACAACTCTAAAAATATGTATATATATATATTTTATTTCTATAAATAATAGAAAATCTGTGCATATAACCTGCTTGCGTATGTTTAAACGAACGAAATATACATTTACTAAGATAATTACATATTATTGCTACAGTACAATTACGAATATAAATAATATAATGCATGAACTCTTTAACATTGTGTAACTTACATTTATGAAAATAAAGATATTAGTCACACAGCAAAATAGATTGAAATAATGTATATTAAATAATCTTTTAAGAATAAGAACATTATTATAACTCATATTTGTGTATTTTACTTACTGAAGTAGAACGCCTGCCATGTTTCTTCTATACCTGCACCTGTACTAACCTCCTTATTGATCGACTTTACTGTGACTATCCTCGCAATCAATAATCGAGTTATTTTACGTCATACCCACCCATATTATTTCTTTAAGCACATTGTAGTAAACCGTTTAGTTTTTACATATTTCGGTTATATAAATTATATTTATTAACAAATTTAAAATATTATATATAAATAATTAATCATTTCATAATTAATGAAACGAAAAATATAATTAGTAAACATCTTTACGTATATAGGTTTCTTGATAGAAAATCCGCGGTTTAATTAATATGTATAATTAAATTTGATTTAATTTTAACTTAAAATTAAATGTTTTTTTTTGTCTCGTTATTAAGGGAAAAATAAATTAGATATTATGTAATAAATTATGT